ACTAGTGGTTTGAAACTACTGCCCTTGCAGTTAGCATCCCAACACACACACACACACACACACACATTTAAAAGAGGAAAGATGCTGGTGGGACAGTTTGACATCAGAGCCACTTCTTAGTGGGCCCACACACCCTGCCAATGGCCGGGCTCCTCCACTGTATTTCCCCTAATCTTCTAAAAACACAGCCTTCAGTGTGTTGTAATCTCTGGGCAGAGGCTTAAGGAGTCAGTGACCTCCTCCATTGTAACCCAGATTTGATGTGGGATCAACAGTGAGTCATTAGCCCTTTTTTCACATCTCTTTTTCCTCTAGGAAAAATGATCTGTCATTCTTTAATATCTTTATATGAAAGATGCTGTCATTAGGTTACATCAGCATTGTTTTGCCAAGGAGTTGTGAATCAAAAGGCACAGGCTCTTCAGTAGACCACAGGGGTCGCTGTAGAGGCACTGGGAGCGCTCCATTCCCTTTGTGAGGTCAAGTGGATACCACCTGCCTCTGCCAGTTAGCATAAGCCCAACCTCCATTGGTCAGCTGTCTCCACTTGGCAACAAAGCCTGTCCAAGGGCCTCAGTAATAAACAGTGTATTTCCTAGCAGTCTTTGAAAAGTAGGGGGAGGGGGGTTAGGAGAGGAAATCCCGAAGGAGGAGAATGTGGCCTAACTTAAATGTAACTACAATTTAGCACAAGTGTTAGACCGCAATGATGCAATAAGAATGGTGGTATTGAACTTTGGCCTGTTGTATATTAATAGTCATTCAGGAAGTTAAAAGGGTCAGTTTGATCTACCTATCTGGTGAGATCTGTCTCTCTCTTTCTCTCTTGCATGCGCTTTCTCTCATACACATGCGTGCATGCACAGGCAACACGCACAAACACAACTAATCTTAAAAATAAAATCCCTGAACATAAGCAAACATATTACAGATGTCCCAGCGATGGCTACTATTTTCCATCCTTGGGCAATTGGTCCACCAGACCAGCAACTTATAATACAGGACATACATCCATTCCTGAACAGGATACTAAGTCCCATTCCTCAAACCCCTACCGTTAGTGGTTGGTATTCATTCTACATTTCACAATTTTATTTGGAAATATACAATGAAACCTAAAGAAAGAGCTTGGTGCTAAATGATAAACAATTTCAAGGGAAACCTCCCTGTTCTTGTTCAGTCTATAAATGGTCCGTCGATCTCATCCGATAGGATAGAATAAACCAGCACGATTACTGTCTTCAGTTGCCTGGCTTGGAGATTCCACTCTTCATTAAGAGGGGCTGCTTATTTTCCTTGCAATGAAAATCCATGACAATTCCTCGCTTCTCCTTGTGCTGACACACAACACACAGTGTTTTACTTAGGCTAAATGCACGGGAAATTTTGATGCCTCTGATTTAGATGCTTCCAGGACACAAAAATAGAGTAATTTTCATGCAAAATGTATGCTCTCATTAACTTAACAGAATTATTTCTGATTATGTGGCTATTCAATGCTCTTATTTTTATGCCCTCTGATCACAAAGATATCTGTGAGTTCTTGCTTTTAAAATGACCCTATGAGCAGAACTCAATAACCCCAGAGAAATACCAGGACTACCAAAACTTCTCAAAGTGGGCACTTCTGACATTGTGTGATGAGTATTGTTCAGAGGTAGGGAAGTGTCCTGTGCGTTACAGAATGGCTAACAGCATTTCCAGTCACTGTGCGCTGTGCGCTGTGTGCTAGTAAGCAGCCCTCAAACCTAAGCCATGACAACAAAAAAGACTTCCAAAAATTTTACCACTTTTCCTTTTTTGTAATTTTCCAAGTCACTAGAGATTTTACTTGTCAATTGCTTCAGTTCTTCCTGTACTTGTGCATTTACTCTCGATTTCTGAAGCTGGGTGTGGTTGTCTTTTGAAGACATGTACCTTGAACACCTAGGAGATTCTCGAAAGAACAAGAAGCGCACTAATTCCCACTGGGCAAACTATCGGTAAACCTTAAACTAACAGCATGTGAAAAGATCAATATGAATAAATTCAAAACTAATCAGACCCCTTCTTTAAATGTTGACACAGTATTATTTATATCCCAGGAATACCTTCTTGACTAAAATTTATCCCAAGAGATTGGCACCTGGCCAGTTTTATTCATATTTACTGTATTTATATAGTATACTTGGCCAAGGATAATATTTAAGACAAAATATGCCTTAGGGCATATACAATATCACTTATATTTTTACTTCTAAATCCCCACATTGCTAAAAATATTTGGTCTGAGGTTTATAAAATGCCCTGCAAAGGGCTATCAACAATCTGCAATGACATATAGCACACTGAATATAATTAGAGCATATTTGTAATACTTGAGCTGAAGTCACTCCCTGAACGCTAATAACTTGGTGGTAAAAAATGAACGACTGATCTTTCCCAGGCCTGCATCTCTGGGGCTTGTGACCCTCAGTGAATTCATTGCAAGAAATGCAGACATGCAGTGATGGTAGAGTTAAAAGATAAGCAGTAAAGTCTTAAGGAGGGAAATTTGGTCCATAAGTCAGTGCTGTACTTTTACTTTGCTCTTCAAAAATATGATGGAGTGATTTCTTCACTTCTTCCTATTTTTGGAAGAGTTCGCTATATTCCAGCATAACTAGAAAGTGCTGGAAAATCAGTTAACCTACTTTCTATAAAGCGATCCAGTCTTTGCACAGTAGAAGCAAATCTACTATTAATGCAGCTTTCTGCTTCTAAACTTCCCGTGCACACTGTAAGAAGTCTGTATTCTTGGCCCCCAAATGGAGAGTGTTATTTTTTTTATACTGGACATCCCAGAGGGTTTTTTTCTTCTCTCCATTTAGTTGGGGGTTTGGGCTAAATGGGGAGGAGAATCTACACACTGATCTTAAATGCCTTACTCAGAAATCCTCCTCCTAACCATCTGAGAATTTTTCCCACTTAGGGATGACCATGAGCCCAGGGCTGGATCACTCGGCTTTGGGGCCCAAAGTGTACTTGAGAGAACAAAGAATTAATACCCTCTATGGTAACTTGCTCCCACCACACCTAGATGCTGATGAAGTCAGACCTCTCCTCTACTATAAAGCCTGGCAGCTCACAGAGCTTTTGCCAGTAAACACTGCAGGGATGAGTTCCACATAACCTTCTCCCCTATCTGCCCTCATAGCAGCAGAGCTGATCCACGTGCTGCAAACAGCAAACTGACTCAGCCCTTCGGTTGGTCTTAATGGTTCTCTACTAATTGCAATGAGCTCTCTTTCCTAATATTTCCTTGGCTCCACCTCAAGCAGAAAGCCTTCCTTCCCTTCCCTTCCCTTCCCAAAGGGGAAGAGCCAGGGTGGAGTGTATTTATCACCCGCTGTTTCGGATGGTGCCATAATTACCATAATACAATCACCCTGTTTGTCAGCATTTCCTCTATCTACTTTGCTAGTGAGCAATATGAGAAGAAGAAAAAAAAAGGTAGCCGGGGAGACTGGGATTTAGGCTCATAGGCTGACATTCTGAGACCATCAAGTACAAGATATGACAAGTCAGAGAGCTATAATTTCTCAAACTAAAAATAAATATTAAAAGAGAAACGCGCCACCCTGCAATTAGAACCCCTGGGATAAAATTACCAAGATGGCTGTATTATCTATTTAGGCAACACAGAGGCTTGGCAAAGGCAGCCAATAAGTATATAGGGCATGGGAGGGGGGAGGAGAGAAATGACAGCCAATGAAAAGTTTAGGGCTTGAGACGTGGAGCTTACAAATGTTGGAAGCAGAGTTTTGTGTTTTCCTTCCACCTCTCGCTCTTTCTTTGACTTGGTATTTAACCCTCTCTAGTATCACTAAATTCGTTTACTTCCTCTTTTTTCTGGGTGTGGGAAGAAAATTTTTGAAGGAATTCTAAACTCACTACCTTCTTTCCTTCTCCGCCCCAAAGAACCTCACAATAAATCATTTCACTCCCTTTGCTACTGTACGCAGCTGGTTTTCAGGACACTACCCTCTAAGAAGCCAGGCAAAGAGCGCAGTCTGGTGCTCAGGAATTAGGAATTCCATGAACTAACTGCTGGAAGGCAGGGAAAGGGCAGAGACCTGGGGCTCAGGATTGGCGAGGATACACAATAAATCGTGTGAAAAATTATCCGGTAAGCTATAACCAAAACGATACTCTCACAGGCGAATTTAAGAAGGTAGGTTTGGTTGAATGCTGAGAAGAAAAACATGAACTAAAACTAAACTACAAATCCAGCCAACGACCTAAAAAAAAATCACCTTTTAAACCGCCTGAGAAGGGGTTGCGCTGCCTGCCCCTCCAGGTGAGGGCAAAGCGGGGAGTAAGTGGTTGCAAGAGCTCATGGTTGGGGAATGTAAACACCTCCTGACCTAATAGAGGAATCAGGAATTCAAGGTTCCAAGGTGGGTTTCCCCAGCGGTCTCTTAACCGGGTTTTGTCAGGCCGATATTGTCATTTGGGGGAGGGGAAGTTTTAAACAATTGGGAAGACTTGGAGGTGCCAATTGGCACGGGATGGGGGTGCAGCCTGGAAAGGAGGCACCTTCGGGAGAGACTACTTAAGAGCCACTTTTTGTTTAACCCTTCGCGCATCAGTTCAACGGGCTTTGCACCAGTGTGCGCAAAGAAAACCAGCCGAAGTGGGCGCCAGGGAGAGCCCTGACTGATGCGGGAGAGCTGACACCTCGCTGGTAGCCAAGTCCAGAAGCTCAAGGAGGAAAAGACAGAGAGCAGCACGGCGAGAGGAAATAACGCCTTCTGGTCGAGGCCGTGGAGCAAATAAAGTGGCAAGTTCACGTTTTGAAAGCGAATGTTCTCAAGCACACTACGGGGAAGGAGGTGGGTGGGAAGAAGGGCAAGAGACTGAGAGAGAGCGCCAGCGGGGCCCGGGGGTGTCAGGGCGATCCCCTGTGCGGCTGCGGGCGAGAGCTCCGGGCAGCGGGCAGCGCCCCACCTCGGGGAATGGCAGCGAGAAGGCGCACTTACTTTCCGAGGGGAAGAAGGGAGGCATGTCGATCTTGTAAACCTCCTTGGCATAATACTCCTCGTCGCTCCTCTCACGCTCGCAGGCGGCGGCTCGCCGGCTCGCTTTCTCCTGGAGCAAGTCCCTCGTGCTGTTGTAGATGGAAATCACCTCCAGGGGCACTTCGTCGGGCTCGGGGTAGTCTTCAGGGGGGCTGGTGAGCTTCAGCTTGCTCAAGATCTGCCCGCGAATCGCCTCGATTCTCTTGCGCATGAACTGGTCCATATCCAGCGTGCTGCAGGTAGACAGACTAAGCGCCACCGAGACCAGATGCAGGGTCAGAAAGGCGCTCAGCACACAGTAGTGCATTTTTTTAAAGGTGAAAAAAAAAAACGTTTAAAAAGAGGAAAAAAAATAAGGCAAACAAAAAAAGCTAGAAACCCACACGTCTCAACGTATAGATCAAGGTTTTTAGGTTTGGGGTTTTTTTTTTAATGCGAAACTTTTGCAAACAACCGAGAGTCAGTTCCCAATCGAGAAAAATATTTCTTGCTGGAATTCCTTTTTTAAAAAATGCAACTCGTTCTCCGGGTGGAAATATGAGTATGGATGGCCAGGGGAAAGCTGTGAGTTTGGGGGGGGTGGCTAATAAGAATTTTTTTTTTCTTGGAGCGACAAGATGGGAGAGGGAGGGAGGAAGAGGGACGAATAAACAGAAACAAATTTAAGAGGACGAAACTGAGTTCTGTGTATCAGTCTCAGGTGCGAAGTGGCGTATCTGAACTCGGCTCCTCCGGCCCAAAGGGAAGAGATGCGAAGGTCCGGGGCTGGCAGCTGCCGACCTGACTCGGGGGCTCCTGCCGGGCTGCGCGGGGCGCCGAGGCGGTAATTTATAGCGTCAAAGGAGGAGCGGGTCGGCCTGTCCTTCCACGGCGACGCCTGGGAGCAAGAGCAGCCGCTCCGGAGCCGAAGAGCGCACGTGTGGGCGCGCGCGCGCGTGTCGGAGTGTGTGTGTGTGTGTGTCTGTGTGGGTGCGCGTGCGTGTGGGTGCGCGCGCTCGCGCGAGTCCGTGGGCGCGCGCTGGGGGCGAGCCCGGCGCGGCGCGGCGGATGCGCTTCGCACAGCGATCGGGACTCGGCTGGGTCGCCCGGGGACCGCCGAGGCTGCAAAGGCCGCGAGGATCTGCTCCCGGAGCCGCGCTGTGGATAGCCTGCGCCCTGGCCGGGCCGCTCCTTTGCCGCCGCCGCCGCTGCTCGCAACTCGTCCAGCCTCCAGCTCCCTCCTTCTGCTCCTCCTGCTCCTCCTCTCGCTCCAAACGCCAACCCAGCAACAGGCGACTGGCCGCGGCCGCGGTGGCTTTCACCCCCTGCGGACGGACCACGGCGGCAACTCCAGAGACGCGCTGCCCGCTGAGTTTATTTCCTAAGGGCGTTGGGTAGGGGTTTCCTTGGGCGACTGTCCTTTCCCAAACCCTCCTGGCCTCGCCTCCACTTGGATGTACTCGCTTCGGTGATAGAAGCACTTGCCACCTTTCTGAAATAGTCCTTTTATCTGCAGCCAGGAAGCCCCCCTGTTTGTTCTCGATTAGCACCCTAGACTGTGGTACTGTTCCCTTATGCAGGACCCTCCATCTCTCCTCTTCTCTTCTCTCTCTCTCCACCCTCTCCCTCTCTCTCTTTCCCTGGGAGCTGGGCTCAGAGCGAACCTTCTGCTGCCAGCAGATAACATCACGATCTTGGTGGGGATTTATAAGTTCTCTCTGAACCACGTGTTTGCCTTCAACAAAGTGACGTGCTAAGATTACAGGCAGAAGTCTTCTCATTTACTTAGACCACGAGCTCTCCTCCACCGTGGAGTTGAAGGGGGTGTGGAAATGTGGACTGCTGTGGGGAAGGGAAGGGAAGGAGGAGGTGCAGTGTGTGCCCTGACAGCAGTGATTTACGGTATTTACTTTATATAGTCATTTTGGAACAATTTGTTGAAGGACAACTATCGAGCGTCCCGTTTTCACTTACTGTGGCTCACTCGGTGCCTCCCTAATGGAATCACTAGTTCTCAAATGGAAGTCTTCATTCCTGTGTGTACACACACACACACACACACACCCCTACACCTACACCAGTGTACTTAGGGGCAGGCCAGCCTTGAGGACAACTTTCAGATCCAAAATGTACTTTTTACTTCTGCAATCTTAAGATTTTCTGAGCTTCCCTAACTTAACCTCCGTCCTTACTTTATTAGTGGTTTGCAGTCTGGTCTTTGTTTAGTGTGAACTGCTAGAATATGACGAGGGTTGCTTCTTTTACAGAGAGAACAAGGTGCATCGGTTTGTTTTACTGTTTGAAGGATGAACTCGAGCTTGCTGCCTGACCGTTTCTTCAGGCGTCTGTCTCTCCACCTTCCTTCAGGCTGGAGCTTACCAGCCGCTTCCTCCTTCCCAGGGCACACATTCAGAACACTGGAATGTGAAGGGTTTGATAGTTACTGTTATACACCATGCACAATCTCACTGTTTCTAGTTCAGCCTCGGCAAAAACAGATGAATACAAGAATAATCCTTGCCACTGTTCAATTTCCCCTCTTTTCTGCCTTTAGTTACTGAAAGTCAACATTTTCATTCCCCCATGACGCGGTGCCCATACTGACTAGTATGGTGATTTAAACTGGAAACTCTGTTGAGTTCTTCCCAAACTCAAAGCCTCTCTATATTATTCATAGCTCAGCTGTTCTACTACAAAAAGAAAGCAGTCAGTAGGAACCTTTCCTAACTTTCAGAATGTACACGTTCAGTGTGTGTGTAGCATTAGTAAATGGAGGGCTGCTTGAATAGGATTCGAGGTGGTGTTGGAGGGGCTAGTGAGTGACTTCTGACTCCCAGTGGCCCCACAGGACACGTAGCGCTGCTCACAGGGTTTGCCGGGCTGTAACCTTAATGGGAGCTGATGGACACGATGTCTCCATTCAAGTCCCTGGGAAAGGGGACCCACCTATCCATGAGCAGCCAAGTATTTAATGATTGCATCACTATTGCATCTGATTCCCAGCGTTATGTATTCCCACCACATAACACTGGTGCCCCACTGGGTGACTTACATGTTGGGCTGCTAACTGCAAGGTCAGTAGTTAGAAACACCAATTGTTCTGGGAGAGAAAGATGGGGATTTCTACTCCCATCAAGAGTTACAGTCACAGAATCTCATGGGGGTGGGGGGGGAGGAAACTCTATCTTGCCCTGTAGGGTCCCTATGAGTCCGTATCAACTCTGTGGCAGTGAGGAACCCAGCAAAAGCAGGTCCCTAAGGAATCCAGGTGACTTAGTGGGCAGCTAACTGCAAAGGCAGCAGTTCCAAACTAGCGGCCATGACTCAGGAGAAAGCTAAAGCTTTCTACACCAGAGAATTACAGTCTCGGAAACCCACAGCGGCAGCTCTACCCTGTCCTATGAGGTCGCTGGGAATCAGAGTCAACTTGATGGCCGTGAGTTTGAGAGTAACACGAATCACACTTAGTAATCGTGGACTGATAGGCACCAAACTCCTTTAAGCCTCACAATAACCCCAAGGAAGTAGATCTGAGTCCTATTTTGCAGATGAAGAGACTGAGGTACAGAGACTAAAGTGTCTCAAGCCCACAGTGAGTAGTCCGCAGGGCTAGGATTTTTTCAGTCAGAATCTCCTGCAAATATTCTCACTCACTACATACTTCTAAGAAACACTGGCCCCAGAATATGACAAACAGGATTTATGCACCCAACTTAATTTGGGAGACACCAGCCACTCCATCCCCCTGTTGTAGATTAGTAATCCCCATTATCACGGCAAAGGCACTGAGAGTCCTGAAGAAAACTTACTCTTTAAGACTCTAAAGTTTAGCGTCACCTGGTATCTCACTTCCCCAGCATTTTCTTCCCTTCCCTCTTAACAGCCACCGGAAAACTCTGGAATAAAGAAAGGGCCCTATCCCACTTCTGATAGCTATGTGCAAATCAGCATCAGCAGGTTCCTATTCTGTGGCCAGTCTCAAGTGGAAACAACTCAAAAGGAATTCTACACCCGGTTACCCCCCCAAAGCCAAAGGGAAGTGTAACCATCAGCCCATCCTGGGGTTGTTTGTGCCATCAAGTTACGTCGCCCTTAGGGTGTCAGCTTGAGCATGGCAGTGATCTACAAAGATCAACAAGTGAGCCCCTGACAACAAAGACGCAGCTCGTTACTTACAGAAAACAAGCCGAAAATGCTTCGGATGACCACTCTTTCCCAACATAAGCATACCATTTTGTACAAGACACTTAGTTTGTTGAACGCTTGCGGCTTATTTTATAATCCTTTAAACCTGAGACCCCTGGCCCATTCCTAAGAGGCGACTTTAAATTTCCCCAGCGCCCAAGAGGGTGGTGATAAGGGCTGGTCAATGACATCATCTGCTCTGTGTAACTGCGGAGAGCAACTTGAGGATAACAGGAGAGGAGCCTCTTCACACTGCTCTGAGGAGCCAGTGTCAGATGCCACCATCATTAGGAAATGTCATAGGTAAGACAGCAAAAGCTATTTTTCTGATAACCATAAACTAGTGTTTTCTTGGGTTAAATAACCCTTCTGGAGGCCGTTTAACCCTATAGCCAAGAAACAAAGCATCCACTCTATTTGTTGAAATCTTACAAGGTGCTAGGGACTATATATGCCCGGTATGCACAGTACAATTGTATTTAATCAGGAGCAGGCTGTTTTGATGATCCGTAGGAGACAGTAGAACCAGGATTGAAAGGACAGGCTCCAGTGTCAAGATTTCTTGGATTCGAGTTCCTGTCACCTTCTAGCTTTGTGATCCCTGCCCGGTAACTCAGGCCTTGGTTTTGGTTCTTCCTCTGTAAAATGGGGATCAACGTTACCAAAAACAAGAAGAGGGTGAGGACTGAATTATAGGATGCAGAGAAAGCACTTGTAACAAAACCTGGCACTTAGGAAGTGCATGTTCAACGTTACTGTTATTATTTTATCACTTTCTCATTTCTGAGAGAGAATTTATAATAAAATCACCTGGCTTCTGCTTGCTCATTTACAAATACAACCAAAGAGCAAAGGGAAGAAAACCCCCCTTTGCTTCATGGTTATGCCTCCTAGCCATTTCTAAAAAAACAAAACAAAACACTCAGAGTGACCCTGTGACGGTAGACTAGCACAGCTCCTGTGGGTTTCTGAGGCTGCAAATATTTAAGTGGCCAGAAAGCCTCATCATTCTTCTGTAGAGTGGCTGGTGGCTTTGAACCGGTGAACTTGCAGTTAGCAGACCTAACAAGTAATCTACTATACCACCAGGACTCCTAATTATTTTAAACATTATGATATTTTGTTACCAGTGATTACAGGGACAAGGGCTAGAGAGTGCATTTTGAGGGAAGAGAATGCCAAATGCCTATCAAAGTCAAGTCCAGATACACATTCAAGTCTCTCAGTATTTAACACCCTAAAATGGAATTCCTTGTTTTTCAGATCAGAGTAGAGGTTGGTAGCTGTTTCACCAAACCCTTCCCTGCTAGTTAAGGGGTGCATTCAGTGAAGTAATTTCGAATTCTTAGAAGGGATTAAACAAACCTCTGGTTAAAACCAAAATAAACTTCTCATCTCACCCTATGGATCTAGGAGTGAGTTTATGATCTAAATAGCTCCATCCTAACCTTGTCAAAAGAATAACTTTAATATGACAAATTCTGAAAGTATTTCACAATGATTTAAAACATTAAAATCCAGAAAGAGTATGTGGTCTGGCGGGGACAACCATAATTGATTAGGTTTTATAGCACGTTTGAAGAATGCAAAATAAGCATCTAATCTGAAAATAGGCCACATTTAAATTCTTATAATGTTATCTCCTGAAACCACAATTTTCATATTTGATTATTTCCATCTTTGTCCCATGTTCTATTTACATTGCTAGAGATAAACAAGTTTATGCAACTAATGGATTGAAAACCTTAGTGATTTCTC